ACAGCACTCTCATAAGCAGGACCAACACCATTAAGAATAATCTCAATAAGATCCTCATCATCAAGGGCTTTACGAGGTCCGAAATATTGGTCAACTTATCAATATACGCAGTACTAGACATATTACCACGCCTAGTAGATTGGAGCTGAAAATTGAGATGAAGTATATGAGAGCGAGATTGCGAAGCATACCGAGTAGCCAAGGATTTCCACACCTCAGCAGAAGTAGTACATCGAGCCACAGTAGAAAGGACAGTTGAAGTCAATGTAGAGTTGATCCAACTCATAATTTGCTTATCTTGTCGCTGCCAATTCGCATATGCAGGATTTGAAGTGGACTTATCATCAAGCAGTTTTGCAGGACAAGTTTGAGAACCGTCAACATAACCATAGAGATCATTGGCTTGTAGCAAAGGAGTGAATTGCGCAAGCCATAGCAGATAATTGGTGCGATCAAGTTTGATCGAAACCAAGTATGAGACATTGGGAAGAGAACTGGCCAGAGAGGTAGAAGACGAAGCCATCTCAACCAACCATAAACAACCAAGAACAGGCACTAAAGGAAAAAAAAAATTATATTGGATCGAGAGTCTCAAGACAAGAGCTCTGATACCATGTAAGAACTTGATATTTAATGAATAATTGTTATTGAAACATGTTGATTTACAATGATACATCCACATGGGATATATAGACACATCAAATATAAAAAGTTATATTGGATGCTCTAGCTGTTAGAGTATGATAGGATTGTGACACTTGGCATAAGATTAGAGGTTGTGATGGTTAGATAGTTAAGATGGTTGCGTATAATAGTGTATTCTGATTTACTGATTCATTAAGAAAAAGAAAGATTATTTTCTCTGCTATCTCTCTCTCTAGAAATTGTTCTTCATAATTCTTCATTTGATATTGATTAACATGGTATCAGAGCAAGGCTTCACGTGTTGGGCCCAATGGCCACACGTGCTCCCACGTCACCCAATATGTGTTGTCCACGTGTTAGGCTTGAAAATTCTCCACACGTGCGGGGGCGTGTGGTCAAGGATGATGGTCAGCCTTATGGGAACCCCACCTTGTATCGAAGTATTGTAGGAGCTTTGCAGTATTTGACTTTCACCCGACCTGATATTGCATTTTCTGTGCATCAGGTTTGTCAATTTCTGCAAAATCCAATGGTGACACATTTCACAGCAGTTAAGAGGATTCTTCGGTACTTGAAGGGTACAATGCACTTCGGCATTAGCTATAGTCAAGGAACCTTGAACTTAACAGCATTTAGTGATGCTGACTGGGCAGGAGATCCAAATGATCGGCGGTCCACTACCGGTTTGATTGTGTTTCTTGGTTCCAATCCTGTGTCTTGGTCCTCTAAGAAACAACAAACTGTTTCCCGATCTTCCACTGAAGCAGAATATCGTGCTTTGTCAACTACTTCTGCAGAACTTGACTGGATCAAACAATTACTGGTGTTTATGAAGGTTCCCATTGCTCAGCAACCAGTGCTTTTTTTGTGATAACCTATCTACCATTGCTTTATCCTTCAATCCGGTTCAGCATCAGAAGACCAAACATATTGAGATCGATGTTCATTTTGTTCGGGAAAGAGTGGCAAAACAACAGCTATTTGTGCAGTTTGTGTCTTCCAGAGAACAGTTTGCAGATATATTAACCAAAGGCTTAAGTGCTCCTCTCTTTCGTACTCATTGTCACAATCTCATGCTTGGTTTATCAAAGCAAGAGATTGAGGGGGGATGTTAGAGTATGATAGGATTGTGACACTTGGCATAAGATTAGAGGTTGTGATGGTTAGATAGTTAAGATGGTTGCGTATAATAGTGTATTCTGATTTACTGATTCATTAAGAAAAAGAAAGATTATTTTCTCTGCTATCTCTCTCTATTTCTGATATCTCACTCTCTCTCTCTAGAAATTGTTCTTCATAATTCTTCATTTGATATTGATTAACACTAGCTAGGAATAGAATATTTAAACTGTCAGTGGATGTTTTCACGTCTGATTCTAAGGAAAGAATGTCAGCTATTTTAGTTGACTATTATATGTTAACTAGTGGCATCCAGAGAATCATTATGTCTGGGAATCATTATGTCTTCTATCATCGGGCTCCTCGTATCGTATCAACGGTTGTAAGATCATGCATGAAATATTTGCCTAATATTTTGTTACGTTATTCTCTTTCAAAGTTACAGTATTTAAATTGAGTTAAAATTTGCAATATGTTGTAATTAATTGACGGTGGTTGACTCTGCCACTATCAAGGACCTAATACTCTCCAAACCAATTTCTCTTGATCCAACTAAAAATTTCAAACTCTTAACACTTTGAAAACACCATGTTGCTCTAGTCAAAATGAATTTATACACCAGTGATTTGTGATTTGTGTTGAAATCGCCATCAGTCAGTGTAGCTAATCAGCCGGACCTCACCTATGACCATGGATTGGAAGTTGAAACTGCACTCACATTCTGACCGCAAAAGTTCAGAAAAGGAGCAACACATAACATACATGGAACATGCATTACAATATTACAATTAAGAAATATTTAATTATTGTTCACCATGACTTGAAAGATAAAAGCGGAATTTCATGTAATGATGAAGAAGGACCACAATCCAAACCTGGCCGTATTCCCGTTGAACTTGAAGCAACATCACAAGGCTCAATTGAGTTAGTCCTAACAAATTCAACCTCTTCATAGTTTTGTCCACCATTAGAAGTTTTTTCTGACATTTGAATCCCCTCCAGCTCTGCCGTGACCTCTCTCATTGTAGGGCGCTTTCTTCCACTCAAATTCAAACATCTTCTTGCAAGGTTAGCAACTAATATGATATCTGCTTTAGACCCTCCTTTTACAACTTCAGCATCAAGAATTTCGAACAGGCGATCTAACTGCATCGAAGTAATGAAGTATGTGGCAAGACTTTTGCCTTCTTCTTGTGACCTTCTAAAAGAAATTGGTTTTTGTCCTGTCAAGAGCTCAACAAGGACAACTCCAAAGCTATACACGTCACTTTTCTCTGTAAATTGACTTGATTGAAAGTATTCGGGGTCCAAGTAACCAAATGTGCCGTGTACAAGTGTGGTGAGGTGAGTTTGGTCAATTGCAACTGATCTTAAAGTTCCGAAGTCAGCAACTTTTGGTCTGTGTTTTGCATCCAAGAGTATGTTTGTTGACGCTAAAAAATGGTTCAGCACTCTTTAGCCCAACTTAGAGATGAGGTGTGATGATTGATGGGTGAAGGTGAGAACCTTCAGCATGTGTGTGAAGATTTAAGCAAGCGATAAATATACAGAAGACAAAATATACGTGGTTCACCCTTAATAAATGGGCTACGTCCACGGAGAAGTATATTCTCATTCTCATTGTAATGTGTATTTACATTTTATACAAGGGGCTGGGCCCAAATATAAAGAGAAGAAAGCAAAGACTAAAAATCAAGCCCAACCAAGGGGGGGGGGGATCCTCTCCTAAGTGGAGAGTGGTCTCCTTTTATAGATGAGAAGGAGTCTTTACTTCTTGCAATATTTCAATGTGGGACTCTTTGCCTTGTTTTAGAATTGCTTCTAGTTGCTTGGTCAAATATGGTATAAATAGAAGTTCCCTAAGTTCTCAAGTAAGGAGATACTTCTTGGTTGAGGACTTGTAATTTTCAGTGCATTGACCGAGCAACACCTTAGTCTTCTTCCAAGCCGTATAGTGTGGTGTGGATGGTGCTGAATGCATCGCTCACGTTAGAATGATGATGACGGGGCGCCGAAGGCTTCGCTTCCGCCTAATGATGACAGGGTGCCGAAGGCATTGCTTCTGCCGAATGATGACAGGGGTGCCGAAGGCATCGCTCATGTCAAATGATGGCAGGGTGCCGAAGGCAACGCTCGCGCCGTATGATGATGACGGGATGCCGAAGGCATCGTTCGCGCCGAATGATGACAGGGTGCCGAAGGCATCACTTCTGCCTAATGATGACAGGGTGTCGAAGGCATCGCTTCTGCCGAATGATGATAGGGGTGCCGAAGGCATCGCTCATGTCAAATGATGGCAGGGTGCCGAAGGCAACGCTCGCGCCGTATGATGATGACGGGATGCCGAAGGCATCGTTCGCGCCGAATGATGACAGGGTGCCGAAGGCATCACTTCTGCCTAATGATGACAGGGTGTCGAAGGCATCGCTTCTGCCGAATGATGACAGGGGTGCCGAAGGCATCGCTCATGTCAAATGATGGCGGGGTGCCGAAGGCAACGCTCGCGCCGTATGATGATGACGGGGGTGCCGAAGGCATCGCTCGCGCCGAATGATGACAGGGTCTTCTGCCTAATGATGACAGGGTGCCGAAGGCATCGCTCATGTCAAATGATGGGCGGGGTGCCTGATCGGTTCATAATTGTATATCATTTTGTACCCTTCTATCTTATGATTTGGTTATGTTATTGAGTTAAACTTGTGCTTTTAATCCATTTTCTGTTTTGACAAGTCCATAATTACATATACTTGCTTGCCTTCTTTACTTAGTGATTTTGCTTAGTTTCTCTTTATTTTGAGTCACTTACCTCTGTTTGTGTGTTTTGTAGGTTAAGATAGCAAGAGATCACATTTG